CTAAAAAAAGACAAAGAAGTGGAAATACTTGATTTGTTGGAAGATAAAAACAGGTAAAACTCTTGGAGACATAAGCATAAGGAAGGACTTTCTGAACAGAATTCAATGACACAATATATGGTACCAAGAATCAACAAATGGATCACATATAAGCTATAAGCAATACTTCCTCACACTGACCTCTCTGCTATTGCTTGGGTTGTTTAAAGAATTCTGATGGTGCTGTAAATCTACTTGTGATTTATTTCTTGAGTAGTGTGAGCACAGAAGGTCCTGTAAGCCTATTCAAGATTCTTATCCTGAATAGTATAGAGAAAGCAATAACTTTAAAAGAGCAATAAACACTAAGGGATGTTATCCCTTGCTATGGCATGTAACTAGATGTCCTCCCAAAGCCTCATGCACTCCTCAGGCAGGGATTTTCAGAGCTTGTTAGATCTAAGGTGTGTGATGCTGGGTTTAAGGGAATGTGTTACTAAAATAGTCCACTGATTGGAATCAGCATAATTATGATGTGGTTTACTGAAGACAGAAGCCCCACCCTAGAGGTGGCTGGCATCACCCAAAACAGTTCTACCCTGGATGGCATAAAAGGGAAAGGCAGTCTTGTTTGTAACTGCTTTGTTACTTGCTGCTTTCTGCCTTTCTGGCATGAACTGTTGGTCTTGTGATGCCCTTCTGTCATGCCACACTGCCTTGGAGCCAGTCAACTATGGACTGAAACCTCTACAAACTATGAGCTGAAATAAACTTTTGCTCATTTAACTTGAGGATGTTGTGTGTTTTGTATCAGGAACAAGAAAAGTAACTAAGACATTGCTGAAGTGCTCCCAAGTTCAGAGGTCTATGAAGCAGTAACAGAGATCAGTACCCATTAGTGGTATCTATCCTGATGGCATCTGAAACAAGCTGATGGATGTCAGACAGCTCCCACCAGCAGTGGTGGAGACCAGCAGCCAGCAGTGTCAACTTGGCATTCAGCATTAACTGATTATCAACTGGTGGCATCAGGTTGACTAACTTAGCTATACTTTGCCAGTTCATGATTTCTATCTGAATTGAGCAAAAGAACCTTCAACTGATTGGCAATGAAGGTACAAGACAGTACCAACAAACATGTGAGATTCAGTACTATTCATGAGCTACCCTGAGACTGTCACATCTACTTCTATGTCACTGAGAGACTGGGGGTGCCCAGTGGTGAGCAAGTGGTGAGTGAAGAATTTTTTCTATTTCAGGGAAATGTTTTGAATTATACAAGTTCTAGTAAGTGCAGTGAATCCCAAGCAAGCACTCAGAGCTAAAATAGTATTTTCATTAAAATGCAACAAGTACCAGTCTTGACAAGTTATGAAGCCAACCAGTACTGCAGTATGACTGTAAATGGCTGCAGTCTACATATTCTCTCCATGCCCCCAAAAGCCATAATGATAGTTTTCCTGGAACACCAGTATCTATATTAGACACTTACCTCTCAGTCAGTCTTTTAGTTGGTCAACAAGCATTGCTAGAGCACCTTCGTACCCAGATTGTCTCCTAACTGGTGACACATTCCTGTGCTAGAGAAGATTCCATTTAGCATTTCTAGAAAGGTTGTTCAATTTCTTTAGGGAGTGGAAGAGTCTGCCACTCTTTAGGGAAGAGTCACTTGGGATTTTGCTAGAGAGGTTAGGTAGTAAATTCCCAAATTCTATGCTGTATGCTATAATGTGGAGGAAGGAGATAGGGAAGACCACTGAGTATGCCCCTTGTATAAATTTTTGTACACTGTTCCTGTTAATAGCTTCACTTCTCATTTACCTCTATCATGCCCACTAATTCTGAGTCTAGCCCCTTCTCCAGGCTTTGGCTACTGTGAGTCATGTGGCCAGTGGGTTCCTGAGAGGGACAATGGGTAATTAAGAAAAGACTAGACACATAAATAGAAGGAAATCTGGGGCCAGGCAGAACCTGACCTTTAACCAGCAGCAGCCCAGCACAGTCTGCATCTTTATTTTATACACAGTCAAGAAGGGAGAAGTGTGTGACAGAATCAAAACTGCAAGTCCTCAGTATTTTGCTGAGATATTGAAAGGAAAGCTTTCTCAGAGCTATTCATGCTGCAGTTAAGGCCAGACACTTGCTGGACTGGCCTTGCTCTAGTCCCAAGGGATTCATCAACCTCTAGCTCATCCAAGGCTTAGCCACTTCCCACATCTGGTATTCAGGTTTGCTTCAACTCTCATGCCCTCAACACAGGCCGAGTCATGCTTTTCTCCGCCAGTCTGTCATGAACATTGAACCATCCACTTCCCAATTTCTGTACTTAGAGTGAAATTTCTCAGGCACAATTCTCCTCTACCTCTCTTCATAGTTCTAGTGGGTTTTTTCTTTTTATACATTGACACTTTATTTTAAGGAATCTGAAGAGGAACATTATGACTATACATTGACTCTGAACAAACTCTTATGACTTTTATAATAAATTTTTAAAACAATGAAAATATAAATATAAGTTGTAGCCATCTCTTGTTGTTAAATTTTCCAGTATTTCAATCATTAAAAACTTATTTATTAGGCCAGGGATTTAGCTCAGTGGTGTAAGCACCTGCCTGGAAAATGCAAGGTTATGAGTTTGATCCCCAGAACAAAAAAAAAAAATTCATTGGCCATTCTTTTACAAGGTAGCCATTACATGGGTTTTATCAGGACCCTCAATTCAACACTATAGTCATTACCTGTGAGAAGTAATAGGCTTTTTAAGATAGTTCAATCAACATCTTTTAATTGTGCTCCTTTCCTTTTTTCTTCTATTTCTTTCCCTCCTCATTTCTGTATCATACCCATATAATATTAGAGAGGAAGTAACACCATAGAGGCATTATTCCAAAGAAAAAGAGAAGATAATCAGGGTCTTCTCTTTTCTACTGCTAGAGTTATCTGTGGCTTATTCTTCTACAATTTAAATATGGTCTAAATAAAACACTAGATACCAATCTTCCATCTTTTGCTATCCCTCTGAGTTACTAGCCACCCAGCACAAGGGTGTTAATCAAATAATCTTAAATAAACACTGAAAAAGTATGAGTGCCTGTAAATGTGCTTGGAAATCAGCTCTTATTTTGTCTAGAGACAGGGCAAGATTCACTTCTGACTTTCTAAATAGGGACCATAACACAAAAGCAGAGATATTTAAAGTTGGAAGAGTCCTGTGCTCTTCACTTACATCTTACATCTTACATCTTCCCAAGACACAACTCATCCTGTAACCCAGTTAATCAATAGTGATTTGGCCTCTATGTAGATAGTTCTGGAGACAGATGTCATTGCTTTAGGATCAGTACCTCATCAACAGTTCTTTACAAAAGTTCTTTATAAAAACAAGAATCTTCTTTCTAGAAAATTTTAACCACTAAATTATAGCTCCATTCTCTGGCATCACACACAATAAGGAACTCAAGTTAATGGAAACAGATGGGCTGAAAGACTTATGTTCCTGGAACATTTCAATTTAGCTCTACCATTTATCAGATAAACATCTATAGGAAAATTGCTCAACAATTGCTAATGAGTTTAACTTTCTTATCTGCTAACAGAATAATAAGTACCTATGAGAGCCCAAGATTGCCCATGTAAAGCACCTGATATGTCATGAGTGTTTGATAAACATTAGTTCCTTCACTTCCACACCCTTGAAAACCATTCACATATTTAAATGCTGTTATTTATGTCTCCCTTAAAATTTCTTTCCAGTGCAGCCCAAATGTATGTAGTTTTTTTCTTTCAACTGGCCTGTGAGCTCCAACTCTCAATACCCCAACAGCTGGCATAGTTTTCAAGAAATAGTTGTTACTCTGGGGAGGTTAAACAATCAGAATTAACATGCTGAGTGTCATCTGTCAATCCTAATTCTCAGTAGAAGTCTTCTCATCGTTTTAGTAAGATGCTGAGAATTACACATAGATGTAACTTATCAAAGTGGATCTCTCAAATCCCCTTCAGTTACTTTGTGTTTGTCTTAATTATCTGCAAACAGAATAAGGTAGTTGATCAACAATAATATATTTTCAAACTCATTTTTCTAATTTAATTACCACCGCCTTTCCCATCTTCATTAATATGGTCTTTGTCTTTTACACCTATTTCCGTGATCTGTTGTATATTTATTACATCCAAGTGTTTTACAACATACTCGACTGTCATGTTAAATACTTAAGAAAACAACTGAATCTGTTTTTCCCAGTAATTAAAAATGCTGTACTAAAAAGGATTAAGATCAATGAGGTCCCATTCAGCGTCTCAGACTCACCTTCTGCCCTCATCTCAATTTTTATGTTTCCCTTTCTCCATTATTGAGAGAACACAGTAATATCAATACTCATTTCCAAGCTCCTTTGAATTACAAAAATGTCTTTTAAAAGCAAATTTTTAAAATAGCACATCTTAAGTAAGCAAGATTTTGCATACCCAGCAAGACTTTTCCCCTCTAGCTGTACCTGGGCAAGAAGAACAGCATTAAAATAGCTGAATCAACTGGTATCTCCACTTTTGTCAAATGACTAACTGGAGCCTTTATTTTTAAACACATGTTAGACACCCATCTCTCATGATTAGGTCAAATGCAGGCCATCCTGCAGGCAGAATTAGATGACTTCTGATGTCTCTACCAGCCCTATGACTTGTCAAAGGGAAATGTAATTATATCCTCATGTTAAAAAGAAAAAAAAGAAAAATCAGCACTCTGAAGCCCAGAAGATGTCTCTAAACTATAACCTGCGAAAGTCAGTAAATGAAAAAGAATTTCCTTGCCCATTCTTCCAATGAGTCAGAAGCTAAGGATTAGACTGCTTTAAAAAGGAAATAAAAATAAGACAAACCAGGAATCAAGAAGGAGGGGACATAGGGCTGGTGGTGATGAATCAGATCATTAGACCTAGAGGGTGACTCTTTCTTAACTGTGCAATTAGGACCTCAATAAAAGGCTCCAGTGTGTACTTCAGGCTTACAACCCATTGCCACACATTCTGCTGGCTCTCACTCCTGAACCAGGTAAGTCTCATAGATTATCTGCTTGAGCATATTCAATATCTCAGTTGCAGCTTTGCTTATATGTGAGATTGTATTAATGCTTCAGAAGAAATACACTCTAAGCCACGGTTCATAATACTAAACTGGGAATCCAGGCATTCAAAATGCATTCTTACAGAACTTCTTTATTTTCCTTGTTAAAAAATATAAACTATTTGGATGATATAGGCATGGGTCTTATTTAATAAGACACAAGACTCAACTTTATATTAAATATAAATCCTACAGTCACTGAAATGATGGGTAATGACTGTGTTATTTGCAATGTTTTGCTCTGATCTGCTTTGTTCTGTTTTGTTTTGCTTTGTTTTGTTTTGTTTTATTCTCTTCAAAATAAAAAAATGATGAGTAATAATTGAGGAGTCTGCATTTTGTTTTAGCAGCAAGTTCATTTCTTTTCTTAGCATAGAAGATTAGACTCAGCCAAGGCAGAAGGCAAGCAGGCAGACATGCTAGAAGAACTGATCTCCCTGGATTGGTTTCATTTGCACATTCCAGTACTTACATTTGAGCTCTTCTTTTTTTCACACTAGTCTTGCAATCAGATGTTCTGTGAATACACGAATATTGCTATTTACTGCAGAGCAGGGTAAAATGTCCCTTCTGTGGTGTGCTTACTTGTGATAGATCTCATCTCACCACAATGTCCAGTGCAAAACTAAATTACTCCTGGAGTTCAGATACAATATTCTAAGACAGCAGTTGATGTACATGGGATTAGGGTAAAAGAAGAAAAAGAGACAATCTTGGTATTCCTCTCCTGAATGACTTATGCTGGGAAATTAACTGTGTTTCTTCTTGTTCGCAGTCACCTCTGAGTTTGTAAAGATGCCTCGGCTCCTGAGAGCTGTCTTCTGTGTAATCGAAGCATTCCACAAGTATGCCAAAGAAGATGAGGACAAGGCAGTGCTGACCTGCAGAGAGTTAAAACAGCTCCTTCAGGGCGAGATTGGGAACTTTCTTCAGGTGAGGTGTTCATAGAGTTGTTCTAGTAATTCTAGAAATTCTTCACCTACTGCCACTTGAACATAATCCAAGAAAGATAGGTTTATGTGATCTTTGTGCATTTTATACTTGGTTGCCTGCTCTCAGCACTTGCTGACTTTTGAAAAACATTTTTCAGTCTTATTTCTTTAATAAGAAATATTACTTAGTTATATTTAATAAGAAATATTATTCTTTAATAAGAAATATTACTTAGTAGTTACTTAGTTCCCCAGAGGAAATGAACTTTTCATTACTAGGACTATTGCTTCAGCAAAGTAGGTTTTTGAGTGGAGTCATAAACCACTATGCATCTAATTACAACTCACAAGTGCTATAAATATACCTTAGTCATAGCCCTCTGGTGAAAATGGCACCAAGAACTAAGAAATTCTTACTGATTGTAGAAATTCCATATATCATAAGGAATGGGATCAAAAAAAGGATTCTTAGGCTGGGATGTAACTCAGGGGTAGAGTACTTGCCTAGCATGAGTAAGTATCTGTGTTTGATACCTACCACTGGGGGAAAATGACTCTTAGGAGGTATTCATGCAGGACACTTGACCACATATAAATAAGCTATTTCTCACTATGTTTTCATGCAGCCACATGTCATTCATGCTGTGGAAAGACATCTGAATCTTCTGGATATTAACAATGATGGCACTATCAATTTTGATGAATTTGTTCTTGCAATCTTCAGTTTGTTGAACCTCTGTTATCTTGACATACAATCATTACTAAATTCAGAATCAAGAGAGGTATATAAATCAGAAAAGGAGAAGCCAAATGATGTAGATCTTCAGGGAATCACAAGAACTGATCAGCAAATAGTGGGAACTCTGTCAACTCAAGAAAACATGTTGCTTCCTTCAGAAGTAACATCATCATTCCAGCTCAGCCATGAAGAAAGTGAAGCAGTTACAAACAATAAAGTGAATCCACCGGAAGACATCAAGACTCACAACTTGCTGAAAGAAGCATCTGAGCCCAGGGACCTTAAGAAACAATACTTAGAAGGAGATGAACAGAGCCAAGAAGTGACCCAAGATGGAGAAGAAACAGAAGACAAGAGAGCCCAAATTAAGACAAATAAATCATTAGCAAGATCAGAACAGACTAACAACTCTAAAAAGTCAGTCCCCAGAGAGGGACCTAACCTAGTCAGGAGGCAAAGTGGTAATAAGACAAGTGACAGATTTAAAGAACAGGAAGAGAACTTGAAACTACAACAAGAAACACAGATACCACCAGATCAGGAAGCTGCACCAGAAAAAAATATTAAAACCCACTCTAAAACACAAGAACCACCCCTGGAAGGTGAAGATGAACCCAGGTCAGAGCATGCTGATCTACTAGAACAAGCTGCTGCAAGAAAAGCATCTCAGACACAGAAATCAGCTAATTCTGAGGATGATAGAATATTGGAGACTCCAGAACCAGGAAAGGATGTTGACAGGACATCAACTGAGATTAAAGATAGAGATGAGCCTGAAGATTGTAGTCAAACATCTGAGACCCAACAATCACCAGCACTGGAACATAAAATAAAGAACTTACCAGTTGAAGGTGGTAGCAAAGATGTTTCAGAAACATCTGATATTAGAGCTGAAAGGGAAGAAAGTAGAGGCCTTGAGGCACATGGACTATCACAGCAAAAAGAACATGAGAAGAAAACTCAGCCTCCAGTTTTGGATACCCAAACACAAGATGGAAAGTATCATGAACTCCAAAGATCATCAAAAGAAAAAGAGGCAGAAAAAGATTCTGAGACGCCAGATCTAAGCACAGGAGAAAGAAATCAGAATTGCCCTGAAACTACAGGCACCTCAGCCGTAGGAGAAGAGGTGAGACACACTGAGGTGAGACACACAGCACCAGAACTTGTGAACAGCAAAAATGCCCCTGCTGCCAAAAGGACACCAGTAGCAACAGAAAGAACCCAAGAGTCAGGTCCACTTGAGAGGCAGTCTGAAGGAGAAAATAGCAGGACCATGCAGCCCTGTGACAAGCCAGTTAGAGAGGCAGATGGTTACCCAGGAGAGGACTCTGAGGTCCCCATTGCACTGAATAGCAAGGGGTCTTATGCAACTCCCAAGAATCTAATTCTAAAGGAAGGTGACAGCAGCTCAGAGACAGGTGAACTACCTATGCAAGGGGATTTCAAGAGTCAGGCACACCCACACAAGGGGTCTTTGCAAAGAGGTTACCATAGTAATCCAGATCTCCAGAAGCATGGAGCACCAGGTGAGAGCAATGAGGCTCAGGAAGCAATGGTGGTATTAGTCAGAGAAGAAAGTGTAAACCTCCCAGAGGAACAGGAAGAGCCCACCAGAGTGGGCAGAGGGACCAAAAGCCCAGATGCAATTGTGGAACCCAGTGGACCCCAAGAGTCACAGAAGCCCACAACAAAAGGCAAAAACAGAAAGTCCTGGGAGGCAGAGGTCCCAGGTGGCCTGGATAACTTCTTCACGGCAACACAGCTCCCCAAAAATGAAGTCAGCAAAGAAGAGCTAAAAACCCAGGGCCCAAGGACCAAAGAAGATGATGGAATACCAGGGATCCAGGAAATTGTCTTTAAAAGTCTATGTGAGAACAATTCACCCTTCAGCAAGACACACCTTAAAGCAGAGGAACCAGCAACAATGGAAGAAGAGAATGAAAGTTCCTGCAAGCCAGCAGAAAAAAGTGATGACCAACAAAATCAGGACAAGAAACAGTATGATTCTTCAGTTCTCCTGTCAGGCCTTGAGGAAAGGATGCAAAAAGACCAGAAGCCCTGTTCTGTGCAAAGGGATGTAATCCAATCCAGTGCACTATACCAGAGCCTGCAGGAGAATTTACAGCAGGCCAGGTGTGGTAGCTTACACCCGTAACCCCAGCAACTCAGGAGGCTGAGGCAAAAGTGTGGCAAGTTCAGGTCCAGCCTGGGGAACTTAGCAAGCTCTTGCCTCAAAGCAAAAAATTTAAAGGGGTGGAGGTATAGCTCGGTAGTAAAAATGTTTGCCTAGCTTGTGCAAAGCCTTAGTTTCAATCCCTAGTACCACAAAAAAAAAAAAAAAAAAAAAAAGAAAAGGGGAGGAAGAGAGGAAGGAGGAGACAATACAGTAGCAAACAAACATAAACACAAACTCAGACTTTTCAGGCAACATGCCCAGTCAAGGGCATCTATCCCCTGCAGGACAGGTATCTATTTCAACCAGAGCCACGCAGTATACAAGGGACTTTCCACTTGATGAATAGGACCCTGCTAATCCATAACAAATATCAGCTCCCCAAGCTCTGTAAACATTTAAGGTCGCTCTTAGAAAGAGAAACCAGCACCACAAATAAAAGTGAGCCCTGCAAACCAATGAGTTGTTTCTGTTATCCCAGAAACATAGTTCTCAATTTGACCCAGACGTCTTCCCTCCAGTTACCTGCAATATTTATATGCATGTATTCAGATGCAGATTAATAATCCTTAATTAAAAATTATAAATTTCTACCAAAACAAATAGCAACATATTCAGACGTAGGATCTGTCACCAATTTGACCAGGCAAATACAATCAGTAAGAATCTTACAATATAGGGCCAGGGATTTAGCTCAGCAGCATAAGTGTCTGCCTGGCAAACACGAGGTTGTAAATTCAATGCCCAACACCAAGGGAAAAAAAAAAGAATCTTGGGGCTGAAGATTTAGCTCAGCAGCATAAGCGCCTGCCTTGCAAGCAAGCAGTTGTGAGTTCGATCCCCGGTACCAATAAAAAGGAAAAAGACCAAAAAAAAGAATCTTACAATATAATGCCATTTCCAAGTACTAAAATTATGAAATAATTTACCAATCACCAAAAGATAGAAAAATTGTGTTGGGGATATAGCTCAGCAGCACAAGTACCTGCCTGACAAGTGCAAGGTCCTGAGTTCAATTCCTGGTGCCAAAAAATAAAAATAGAAAAATTTCTTCCACATCTTTACCAGGTATCAATTTCTTCAACTAATTCATTAACTTTTTAACATGTAGCAGTAGAAGTCATCAGATTTTGCAATATTATCCTAATAATAAAATGCTAACTCATAAATGATTCAGCTTCATGACATTTCCTAGGAGGATTTCAAGTGTATCCTAAAATTCTATCCCTTAAAATAACTCCATCTATATATTTTGAGTTTTCAAGTTACCTATTGTGTTGTTTCAGAAATATCCTGATAAACATGTCACTTCGTTTCATTTATAGTATTAGCTTCTTTTAGATCACTGAAAAGAAATAACTATTTCTTCCTTGCAGGACAGAATCTTTTTTGCCAGTGTCATGTAGTCTGAGTAACTAATTTCAAAGATAATGATAGTGTATAAACCATTGTGATTCTCTTACTATTTTGTTGTGAATTTTTGTTTTATCATTTCACAAAATAAAAAAATTTCATATATGACCATAACATAAGGTAATTATGACTTTCTTGTGCCTGATTAATGTAAATTCATTACTTTGATCAAGTACAGCTAACTCTATGCTTAGAATTCATTCATCTATATATTCATTCAACAGACTTTTATTAAATGTCACTCCTTAACAGACTCAAATAAGCTATTATAAATAATTTGGGTAGTGGCTCCCATAGCTGAAATAAAAAACCCAAAGTATGCACAATTCCATAAGAAGCTTCCATAAGTAACCAATCATTTAATGAGTCTACTACATACTTGCTCATGCGGTTTACTAGGGTTATTGAATTAAAATTAATAATTAATCTGATAGTCAATTTTTTGTTGATTCGTTTTCTTTATTCTGCTGAAGATGTGTCTTGGAGACATTGATCAAAAGCAAAAATAATCTTAACTATTTGTGTTTTTTGAAGAGACTAATGAAAGAATGGTGCTCTCAGAGCTTAGTAGTGAACCAGAAATAGTTATCTTAGCAGCTCGATACCCACCCTCCCTTTTTGTTCTGCCCTGGAGGCTCAATATCCTTCAACTTAAATTTATATCTCCTGCAGAACCTAAACTGTTATCTATATACCTTCTCCCTGAAACACTTTCAGCAACTTTCATTCTGTCTTCAAACTTAAGTGAATATTCCTACCTGAAAATAAAAAAGTTATCTTAAAAAGCAAGAGACAACTCTCAGAAAAAAAAAAAAAAGAAAAACACATACTTGAGTGTAAACTAATCACCATTTTGGTAAGCAACTCTGTAAAATGTATCTCAGCCAAAAATTATACATTTCATAAATAATTAAATCACAAAAGAATCTGTACTGAGGTCAGTAAGCACATTCCTAGAGCTAAGGCGTGAGTGTTAAAGGTTGGTCCCTAGCCTGCGGAGATACTGGGAGGTGGTAAAACTTTCAAGGGGAAAGATGGGGCCTAGTGGGAAAACTCAGGTCATTGTGGATGCATCCTTGAAGGGGTTATGGGATTGTGGCCTCATCTTTTTTCTGACTATGCTTCCCAGATGCCATCTAGTGCACCCTTTGCTCAGCCACACACTCACACCATGATGTGCTGCCTAATCACAGGCCCAAAAGCAACAGGACTAAACATCACCAACTGAAACTTCCAAAACTGTGAGCCAAAATAAATGTCTCCTCTGTTGGTTAATCTCAGGTATTTGCTACATTATCAGAAAGCTAACACACATATGAAACTTTTAATAAGCTCAACAAATGCAATTTACAGTTTTTCTCACTTATCAAGCTGGTAAAAATTATTATTTATTTGTTTCTAACAGCCACACAAATTTGAAAGTGTGCTATCTAAAATGCAAAATTCAAATTTTAGGAGTATAAATTAATGCAATATTCTAGGAAGACAATTCAGAAATACACATCAAAAAGATTTAAGATATTTTTCAGACAGTATTATAAGGAAATAATCAGGAATGTATTTTAAAATTCATCTGCAAAAACAGACATAGTGTATTAGGTTTGCAGCCAGATGTGGTGGTGTGATGGTCCATACCTATAATCCCAATATGAGGGTATTTTGTTTTGGTTCATTTTTTTCTGTTTGCTTGGGTTTTTTGTTTTGTTTTGCTACTGGGGCTGAAACATTTGACCTCATACTTTCCAGGCAGGTGCTTGTGCTTCTAAGCTAAACTCACAGTCCCAAAAGTTATAGCATCTTAAAAATAGCAAAACAAAAATAGTCATAGCAATAAGGAAACAAGTCACTTATTTATGCTTTGTGAATACTGTAAAATGGCAAAGTCATTATAAATTATGAAGATTTTTAGTTAAAGGAAGAAAAATTATATGTTATTTATAGAAATCTATATTCCTATTACATATTATATATAATTTGTAGATAGGTACATAGATAGATATATTAGCGATAGACCATGCCAAAGAATATGTGTGTTTGTATAACAATGTTTTACATATATAAATAAATATATATGACAATATAGTATATATTCCCCCACCATCCTATAATAATTCTTTTATTGAAGGAGACGTTGCCCTGTATCCAATGAACCTATAGACCTCCGTGGCTTTAGACTTCTTTGTGTCGCATGGCCTCTTCTGACATGTTGCTCTTTTGTTTGGTTTTTTTGCCACCTCCATTGTGAATCCATCTTATCCATTTCCCAAAACTCTGGGTTGTCTTCAAAGGTTCTTGTTTTTCTGAGCTTTCTCCCTTTGAGAATCTAACATGGTCCAAATTACTAATATTTCTTCTACACTGAGAAATCTTCTACACTGAGTTCATCTCATTCAGAGATGAGTATGTACTTCAATCCAGTCTTTATGAACGCTCATAGGTATGAACCCTGATATTTCAATTACTGCCTGAAAAACTAATTTGTCTTTTCAATTTTCTTTATTCTGTCATTTCCTCAATTCCTGTTCTTTCTGGATGCAAAGGAATAAATTTTATAATCATTTTCCATGTCTTTTTTATTCTTCATATATATCCTACCATAGTATCTTGATAGAACTCTTTAAATTCATGTTCAAGATATGCCTTTACTTCTATTGAACATCACATATCCTTCACTTAAGGGTAACATATGTTTCCCCTTTTACTAAATGTCCAGATCCAGCCCCTCCTATGGATTCCAATTCTATCCACTTTATTCATTCATTTCAAAATGTTTATTGAAAACTCCATGATAGTACCAGACACTGGGCATACTTAAGAGAAAAAAGCAGGGACCAGAACAAATAAAAGCTATTCATTTTGGAGCTTGAATTCTAATTAAGTATGGAAGCAACAAACAACAAATAAGTATCAAGCCTCTTTTTCAAAGCTTTCTCTCTTGTATTGTGTGCAATTGTTTGTGTGCTTTCTTTTGCTTTCTATATACTCCTCAGTGGTCAGGTTCACAGCTTACACAGTTTAGCCCCAGATACGGACTATGATTTAAATAAATGTTTATTAAATAAGCAAGTAAGTGCCTAAATCATTGCAATATTCTCTTATCTGGTACCCCTACTACCAGTCCATGATCCATTCAGTCACACATGAATTTTAGAGAAGGTTGATCTTTTTTCTCTTCTTCCTTCCACTTTCAAGGACCTCTCAGTGACAAAACTCTCTGTAATCCATCCCTTTAATCACTGTTTGCCACTAGTTTCTGAAGAATTCTTTGAGGGCAACAGATTGGTTATCTAATTGTCTTCAACCCTCACTTTGATCATTTAAATCCTATACTCTTAATTTATAGGAAAATTTTAAGACTGAATCAATTCTTTCACTTCACTTAATATATGTGTTAATCACTAGCCATGGACCAGGCACTATGATGGACACTGGACATTCTCAGTGAACGGAACAGTTATGATCCCCACCTTCATGAGGGACATAGTAATGCTGGAAAGCCATGCGAAGCTATTCAGAGGTTAGTGCTATTATTACTTTCATCTCCATGACTCTGCTCTTGTGACTCACCTTCTCTGAAATGCTTTTCCACTTCCTCTCTAATTTTTTAATTGTAACTGTCCTTTAAAGTCTTAGACTAATTCCTACCTCTTCTAGGAAGTTCACTCTGATTGTTTGACTATCATATTATTCATAGTCTACACCACCTAAATTAATACTTACTAGCTAATATTACTAATTGTCCTCCACATGCTAATTGTTCTCTGAATGTTATTTCCCCAAATAAGTAGATTATAAGCCACTGGAAAGGAGGAACAGTTTTAATCCTCTAATGCTCAAATGTCCTTGAGTAAGTTACTGCAGTATCTGCCTGTGTAAAATGCCATCTAATTCACAAGCATATTGTGAGGAATTTTTTAAAAATAGAAGTAGAATCCAGAATTTATAGAGAATGTTTATAAATCAAAGAATAAAATATAACCTAGTCTCTTTTACAAAAAACTAAAAGACATAAAAAGTATATATCAAAAAGTCAGTGAAATGTATCCAACCCCATCATCTGCCAGATAAATGCAGATTAAGCCACAGATTATACCTACTAAATGTCTGAAGTTACAAAATGATAATATAAAGTGTGTGCATAGATGAAGAGAAACTAGAACTCTCATTCACAATTCCTCCCCAATAGAGAGTTAATTTGATCACTTTGAAGAATTGTAGGGTAAGTTTACCATAGCTTAACACATGCAAACTCAATGACTAAGTAATTCTGCCCCAGGTATAAAACCCAACAACAATACACTAAGAGACAAGTTCAAAGACAGTCACAGCAGTATGATTTATAGCAGCCCCAATCCAA